ACCGCGGTGGACAGCCTGTCTGCCACTAATGGACATTTGGGTTCTTGCCAATCAGTCTTTTCACTGTCATAAACAACGCCGCAGTGAAGACCCCTGTGCATCGATCACGTGCGCCTTTGGGTCGGATTCTTAGAAGCGGCACCAGTGCAAAGGGAGTAGTAGGTGGTGCCCGCGTCTCCTCCACCCCAGGCAGGGGTTTCTCCTCCCCCGGGCTCCCCGGAGCCTTGCCCCAGGTGAGGGGCGTCCTGCCTGGGGGCTGGGGCCTGCTCTCTGTTAAGAGTGAGTTTGAGCATCTTTCCGAGCTTGCAGGGTCCTTTCCAGTTCTTCTGGTACGAACGGCTCGCCCGTTTCTTCTGCCCATTTTTCTGCTGAGCTGTAGTCTTTTCTCGTCGGTTTATAGGAGCTCTTGGTTGTTAGTGGGACCTGCTCCTGCATGTGGTCGAAGTTGCGGTGATCTTTTCCTACTGTCTTGGTTCCGGTGTGTTTTGGACTCGAGTTTGTTGTCTTCGTGCGGTCACATTTCTCCACTGTTCCTCCACGGCCTGGGCTCTGGAGTTGTCGCGGCCACCTCTTGGTCAGATGGACGGACGCTTCCCACACACATCCTTTTCCTTTCCTTTTCTGCACGCTGTGGCGGGTTCATCTCCCATGCCCCGCACTGGCCGCCAGAGCCCTGGCCCTGCCAACACAAGCCACTTGGCAACCTCTGGCAGATTATCAACACCAGGGGACCTGGCCTTGTTGTTTCACAGGACTTGATCCTTCCTAGGCTGTCAGGGCCGTGGGCATCACCCTTGCAGCTGTAGTAAGGAGAGGACATTTGCCCCTCGGTGCCCTGGCCTCCCCGCACGCCTGCAGGCTCCCCTGGTTGGGGATCGGGTGTCGCCCATCCAGCCCTGGGTTTTCTCCAGGGCTCCCTGCCCTGGGGCAGCGAGAGGGCGGACTAGAGTCAGGCTACAAGTCTCAGGCTGGAAGACAGCCCAGCCAGCAGCCTGTTCTGAAAACAAGCCTGGGCTGGGGACTTTCTTGGCCTCTGTCGGGGCGGGAGGGTCTGTTCCGTGTCCGGAAGCCCAAGTGTCTAATCGCACCGTGTCCTTCAGGAGAGCACAGGCAGGTTTTCCGCTCACGCGCGCTGCGCTTCCATCCTGACCCTGCAGCTTTTCTACAAGAGCTCTTTCCACCTGGGGGGAATGGAGTTCTTCCCTAGGGCTGCTGTCATGACCACAAACTTGGTGCCTTAAAACATCAGGAATTCCTTTTTTCAAGGTTTTGGAGGCCAGCAGCGTGAAGTCTGGGTGTGGGCGGGCTTGGCTCCGTCTGGAGGCCCTGCAGGAGTCAGTCCCAGGCCTCTCCCCCAGCTCCTGATGCTTGTCCTTGGAGTTCCTTGGCTGGCAGCTGTGCTGCTCCAGCGTCTGCCTCTATGGCCTTTTCTCTTCTTCACAGAAGCCTGTGTCTTCTGTTGTATCTCTTACAAGGACACCAGGCATTGGGTTTCGGACCCCTGTGTTGTCCAGGATGCTCTCATCTCGAGATCCTCACCCTCCTCACACCCACAAAGACCCCCTGCCCAAGTAAGCTCACCGTCACAAGTGCTGGGGGTCAGGATGGTGCATCTCCCTGGGCTGCCATTCAACCCAGTGCAGGGGTATCTTCTGGGGTGACAGATTAGGACAGATGCAGTTGAAGGCAGGTGTCCCCAGGAGCTGCAGCTCAGTTTGAGGGCCTGTTCCCCGGAGTGACGGTGGCCACGGGGCTGCAGAGGCCCATGGTGCTCTGTGGCGAGGAAAGCTGGAGTTTGGCGTGGGGAGGGCTCTGGCCAGCTGGGGGACTGTTCTTAAGACATCTCGTCTCCAGCTGAACACTGCTGGGGCCAGCGGATGTGGGCAGGAGCAGGGGGTGGGCCGCGGCCCAACAGAGCTGTTGGACCGCACACACCCTGGGCAGTGGCCACTGGCTGTGCAGGGACGGGCTCTGTGCTTCTGGGGGGGGGGGGCACGGGCGCGTAGGCGCCCTTCGGTGCCCAGCCCCCCCTTCTGGAGGGGGGCTGACGCCCGGGAGCGGCGAGAGAGCTGGACGTTCTCTCCCTGAGGAGCTTCCTTGGGCTTTGGCAGTGGCGGCTGCCCGGTGGCAGCAGCTGGGAGCTTGACAAAGGTCCCTGCCGGGGCCCTGGGCCACCTGAGCAGGCGTCGGCTGGGAACCACCATCCTTTTGAACCTTCTCTTCCTGGAGGCTGGGCGCCCCTGCTACCTGCCTCCTTCCTTCTGCGGGCCGACGGTGCATTAGAGACCAAGGATGTTAAACCAGGTCGTTCGCCCAGAGGGGAGGGATTCCACCTTCTTGCCAGCTGTCCTTAGGCTGGCCTTCCGGAACCAGAGGTCGGAGTCCTCCCAGGAGGGAAACAGCATGCCTCGCTAGCTGTGGTCCCTCGATCTTCACGGCCGTGTGGAGGAGAAATCCAGATGACTGATCAGATGAGCTCAATAAGAAAGCATTTCTCCCTCCCTGAGAGAAAGTAATGTCCAAATAGCAAGAAGTGAAGGCTTCCGGTGCCCCGCCGGCAAGGTGCAGGGACAGGCCTGGGATGCCGCCCGTTCCATGAGAGTGGCCGGGCGGGGTGGACTGGGCACTTTGAAGCCTCCTCAGCGTCCTTAACTGGGACAGACGGGGACTCACAGTGACTTCGGCCCCGTGCCGGTGCTCACCACACCCTCATCTGTAGCTGCCAAAGACCCTGGTGACATCAGAGGCCGTGCTTCTGGATGACATGGGCACGTGTGGCCAGTGCTGTGGACACCTCGTCACCTGCAACACACTCTGTAGCATGTTGGTGTGAAAAAGCCAATAGACAAAATCACGTAGAAAGTGTGACCCCCAATAAAAACGTAAAAGCTGCAGGTGCCCAGACGGCCACCCTCGGGACGCTTGCGGGTGCTCGGATCACCTGTGAGGAAGTTTTCCTCGTGTGCTGATGTCTTGTCTAGATGCCTGGAATTTACACGTATCACTTGGATACCTAGAAAAGATACGTCCCAGTGCAGTCGGCCTGGCATAGGTGGGCTCGGGGGCCTTGTCTGCACTAGTGGCTGGTGACAGAGCACCCCAGAACGGGGTGGGGGCAAACCACAGGGGTGTCTTGTCTCCCAGTTCCAGAGGCGGAGTCCAGGACTGAGGTACAGGCAGGGTCGGCTCCCTGGGAGGGCCCTGAGGGCTGGACCTGTTCCAGGCCTGTCCCATTGGCTTGCAGACGCCGTCTTCTCCCTGTGTCTTCCCATCTTCTCTCCGTGCCTGGCTGCGTCTCCAAGTCTCCCTTTTGAATATGGACACCAGTCCTACGGGAGCAGGGTCCACCCTAGTGACCTCACCTGAACTGGGCCGCTTCTGTGAAGACCCCGTCCCCACACACGGTCACATGCTGAGGCGGTGGGGGTGAGGACTCCCACGTCTCTTCTTTGGGGGGGACACATTTCAACCCATTACCCACGGGGAGCCTAGCCCCGTTTTACAGGAGGCCTGAGGCGGCAGCGAGTCTGTTCCTTCCTGTTGGGAAACGCAGCTGCAGCTCTGCCGACGTCATGACCAGGAGGCCTTCCGTCGGCAGCTGACGACGGACACGTTAGAGAGGGGACAGGCCTACGCGAGAAGTGATGTGTCCCTGCGCGGGCTGTCGAGGCCCTGGGGCGGCGAGGGGGGCTCGCCGGGGAGGCCTTCCCGGCTGCAGTTTGATGGGGGGCTAGTGACTTTTTCTTTCTGAGCCTCAGGCCCCTCATCCAGAAAATGGGAACCTCAAAGTTTGGACTTCCGCTTGAGTCGTTCCTGAGAGCAGGCAAGAGTTTGCACATTTTCCCTCCACTTCACGGAGCGTCTCAGTCTTCGGTAGGGGTGAAGCCGTGGGCGAGGGCTGCTCTCTCGTGACCTTGCCCAAGGTTGAGCTGGGACGCACTCGCTGAGGTAGAAACCACAAGCCTCCAGAGCAGACATCTCAACCTGCAGTCAGAGCACGTGCTACAGCATGAGGCGGGGTGTCCAGAACTCCAGGCGTGTGGAGTTGGGAGCGTGCTCCCGGGGCGTGCCATCCTGGGCCGTCGCTGACTTGTCTCATTTAATTTGCAAACACTTCTTTAGCCCCGTCGAGGTTAGCGGTGTCTAGGTACTCAGACAGCTGCACACTGATCTGCGCTTGGACTTCCCCCACTAACCCTCACACTGGAGAGCAGCTGAGCGCAATCAACTGAACATCGGATGGAGAGCAAAGGTGACTTTGTAAGCGTCTAGCAAGACTTGGGGGCTGACGCGG